TTATAAGGCTTTCCTGTTTCATCTCCCCCAACACAGATCCAGTCAGCCATGAATTCACAGCTGGGGCTCGGATTAGAAAACATCTCTGTCACCCTGGTTTTTTAAGATTTTCTAAGCTTTCTAACGTTGACATTCTTATAGTGAATTTTCTCACAGCCTTTCTGTAAATAACTCCTTGTTTTTCATTCCTTTATAAAAGAAGAGAGAGTTAATAAACTGTTAGTTTGACCATGTCATTGCAGAGGTGCCAATGTCACCTCCCAATCCGCTGTCACTTTTGTCAAACTATAAATATTAGAATCAAAGAATAAAACTTCCCTTTTCTCCTTTCACCTTAACTAGCAGTATACTTGTGTTCTCTGGTGTCCTTTGGTGACACATCTCTGTGTCCCTGCTGGATTTTTGGGATTTGGGGAGGGGGTATTACAGTGACTTTAGACAGTCACTGTGGTGAGAGAAGGACGGGAATCTTGTTCCTTGATCAGAAGGCTGGATTTATTTATATAAGATATATAATACATTATAACTATGCTAAAAAGAATAAGAAGAGAAGTTGCAGAGAGCAGCTATGCCAAGAAGAGAATAGAAAGAATGAATAACAAAGTTCTGTGTGCAGGGAATCTGTCCCTGAGCTGCTCCTGTGATTGGCCTTTAATGGTACACAAGGAAGATGAGCCAATCACTGGGACACTGCTCCATTTCATTCTTCTTCTGGGGCTCTGCTTCCCAAAAGATGCACAAATATGAAAGAAAAGATTTTTATAAAAAAACATCTACAACAGGGGGGGGTTTTTGGGATTTCAAACCTCCCAATGCAATCTTTAGATTTTAGAATAAGAAGAGAAGTTGCAGAGAGCAGCTATGCCAAGAAGAGAATAGAAGGAATGAATAACAAAGTTCTGTGTGCAGGGAATCTCCCCTGAGCTGCTCCTGTGATTGGCCTTTAATGGTACCCATGGAAGATGAGCCAATCACAGGGACACTGCTGCATTTCACAACAGCTGATAACAATTGTTATAATTATTAATTATAATTGTTATAATTGTTAATAACATTCTTCTTCTGGGGCTCTGCTTCCCAGGAGATGGACAAATGTGAAAGAAAGGATTTCTATGAAAAAATGTCTGCGACAAGGAACGGCTTCTCTTTGTCCCCACCTGGGTTAGGGCAAATTTGTTACAGAATCTGCAAAGGAGTGAAAG